GAATTCCACCTTGCTCCCTATGACCTCAGGGCCTTTGCACAGGCTGCTCCCTACCCAGAATGTTCCCTCCTCCCTTCCCTTCTTCCTCCTCCTTCTCCTGGCTAATGCCCCCTCATTCTTCAGGTCTCAGCTTAAATGCCACCACTTTGGGAAGGCCCCTCTGAACCCCAGACTTAGTCACGTCCTCCCATTATCTACTCTTATAGGTGCCTAGATCCACAGCACCTCTGATCCATAGAGCACATTTTTGGAAATAAAAATGGCACCCTTTTGAGTGAATGCAATCCTGCAGATAGACATTCTGGGGAAGATACCATAGCTGGATCTCAGCCCCAACTCACCTCCTTGGCTAGGTTTCCTCGTGCAGAGAACAACTTGTACAGCCATACCAGCTGCCCCATCTGGACCTCCCCTTCATAGCTTCGTAGCACTTCCCATAATTGAATAGTAATTGCGGGGCTTTATTTGATTAGCCTTTATATACTCCCTCCAGGTAAGCTCCTTGCAGGTAGGAACTGAGTTCCTAATACTGGGTAACCAGAAACTGCTGGCCCCTCTCTACCTCCAGGTTGGCTCACTGTGACCTTGAGACTCATGACAGCCTTCTTGTCAGGCAGCTGATAGAGACATGTGCCAGGCTGCAGCAGCTCAGGTCAGCACTCCAAAACACTGTCTGGGACCCTGCGTCCTCTGGTTCACCCCAGTGCCTGCTCCAGGCCACACGTGAGAAGTTGGCCAGGTCAGGGTGGGGATGAGCAGGGCTTGGGGCAGTGCCAGACCTGGGCATTCTTGCTTCCCTATGCAAGAGACAATCACATTTGGCTTGTGGGGGACAGCTCCAGGGTGGCATGGGGGAGCCTTGCCCCACTGGGAGCTCCTGGGTGGTCCTTTCCCCTTTTTTGGTCTCCCCATCTCTATGTGACTGATGATGCCTGAGGTGCTCCATCCTGAAATCCTCTGGAATACGCTTGGCCCTTTTCAGCTTGTCCCAGGTGAACCTCTGCAATGTCAGCTCCTTGCTCCTGCAAAGCTTCCTGCTGGCCCTCCCTGAGCTGAAGACATTCAGGTAAGCAGACAAGACAGCCAGTCAGGCCTCTTGCAGCTCTGCCCCACCCTCATACTTCCTGTTCCCAGCCTCGGTTCAGAGGAACTTTGCACAGCACTGTGGGCTGGGACTGTACTGGACCCTGAGATAATGTCTGTGTGTGTGGTCACAGACTTGGCCACATGGCAAGAAAGCGATTTCCTTTGCAATATTCTTTCTTTTCCTTTATTATTTGGAAATAATTCCAAACTAATAGAAAAGTTGCAAGAAGACTGAGAACTCCCATACACTACTTTATCAAATTCACCCTTTGTCAATATTCTTTTTTACACTTTCTTTTCTTCCTTCCTTCCCTCCTTCACCCCTCCCCTCTCTCCTTCCCCTCTCTCCCTCTTTCTCTCTTCTTTTGAACCATTTGAAAGTAAGTTGTGTAATCATGCCCCTTCACCCCTTAATATTTCAGTGAATTTCCTAACAAGGACATCCTCTCCCATGAGTCAGTAAAAACATAAAATTCAGGAAATTTAACATTGATACACTACTAGTATCTAAACTACAGTTTATATTCCAGTTTTGCCAATTGTCCCAATAATGTTGTTTATTACATTTTTTCCCCAGTCCAGGATCCTATCCAGGGTCGCACATGGCATTTAGTCGTCATCTCGCTTTAGTCTCCTTCAACTGGGAACCGGTCCTCGGCCCTTCTTTGTCTTTTATGATATTGTCATGACATTTACATGTCAGTTATTTTGTAGACTGTCCTTCAGCTTGGGTTTGTCTGATATTTCCCCATGCTTAGATTTAAGTTCTGCATTTGGGCAGGAATATCACAAACATGCTGTTGTGTTTTTCTCAGTGCGTCACACTGGGAGGTGCATGATGTCTGTTTGTCCCCTTACTGATGAGGTTCACTGGTCACCTGGTTAAGGTGGCTTTTGCTGGGTTTCTTCACTTACAAAGCTACTGTTTTTCCCTTTCTAATTAACAAGGTTCTTATGCGGAGATACTTTAAGACTCTCCTGTTCTTCCTCAGACTTTCACCCATGAATTTTAGCATGTGTTGATAATTCTTGCCTGAATCAAACATCGGTATGGTGGTTGCAAAACGGAGCTCTTCTATTGGTTCTCTTTTTTTTTTAAGATTTTTTATTGGGGAATTGGGGGAAGGGGAACAGACAAGTTGCTGTCCTTTTGTTCTTCAGTCTAGTTGTGGAGGATGTTGCTTCACTGGCCCAAGTTGGCACCATCATTGCGCTCTTCCCGGGCGAGGCAGATCAGTCGCCGGCTTCTGGACGGCCGCTCACTGCGGCTGCTGGCCGCTCACGCTGGCTGCTGACTACACACGGTAGCCCATGGCAAACCACTGCCACAGGGGCTGCAGCCTACGCCGACGCCGGCAACTCACAGGAGCCCAGCTCCAGGTTGAGCTGCTGTTCAGCATCTTAGCTGTGGAGGGCAGTGTCACTGGCCCTCATATGTGGGATCCAAACCAGGGCCCTCTGGCATCCCAAGCCAGCTCTTAACCATCGCGCCACTTGGCCGGCCCTATTGGTTCTCTTTTAACCCAACTGATCACATCAAGGAAGAGGTCTTTTTTTGGTGCCCATATGTCTTTAATGCCTCTCTAACACTTGCTGCATTTTTTGTCATTTAAATAAAGAGGCGGAGCTCATGGTAAACGACAGTAACTAGCTAGACTTTACAGTGATGGCCAATTATGGCCTCAATTGTGAAGTTGCTACCTGAATGGTTGTGGCTTCAGGAAATACTCAACTAGTCCATGCTTCCATCTCTAAGCTATATCTTGGCTAAGCGATTCCACAGTGGGAGAAATTTATGAAGGGAAAGAGGGCCCCCTCCCACTGCCCCCAGCAACTGCTCCCCATCTACCTGCTTGCCCTCTGCCCCCGGCATTCAGAGTTCCCAATACCTATTGTTCTTTGACCCCCACCAGGCTGGCCTCCAGTTGTGTGAGCTCCGAGGGCCTGGCCCACCTGGCATCTGGTCTGAGCCACTGTCACCACCTGGAGGAGCTGGAGTGAGTCGCAGGGTGGAGGGGTCTGAGAAGTGGTGGCCGATCCGAGGGCAAGGGGTGGGAAGGACCGTGGGGCCTTCGGGAAGGTGGGGAGTGGACTTCCACCATCCATCACTTTACTCTCTGATGAAGTTAAGCAGCTCGGTGTGGCCTGAAGAAGGCTGCGCGCTGTGTTCTCGGTCCCAACTTTACCATTCACTCAGAGTGGCCCTGGTCCTATAACTGTGACTCTCTAGGCTTGGACTGCTTCATGAGTAAAATGGGCTCATAATCCTTCTCTGAACAGGGTGGCTATGGGTGTTGGGGTACAGACAGAGCTAAGGGTCAGAAGGGATCATTGCACATGTGTGTGTGTTCTTTGTGCCTGGCTTTCTCTTTTGCAACCCTCTTCTAGGGTATCCTTTCTTAGTCAGGTCAGCTGTGACTGCCATGTCCCCTTCTTCAGGGACCCCAGAGTCCAACCGTTGGAGCTAGGGATGCTCCCATGCAGCCTGGAGCGGAAGGGTGGTCTTGGATCGGCTCCTTGAGGAGATGAGGGGAGCAGACAAGACAGCTTGGCTGCAGGGGCTGGGCAGGCTTGTCTAACCCTCACCTCATGCTTCCTCCCCTCCAGCTTGTCTAACAATCAACTTGGCGAGGAGGACACCAAGGTGCTGATGGGGGCCCTTGAGGGCAAGTGCTGGCTGAAGAGGCTTGAGTAAGTGGCAGCGGTTCCTGGGGTGGGGGTGAGGCAGTGGTTGGGCGTATGCCTAGGAACCTTTGCATGTCTCGTGGACACGAACTTTCTAATCCCTGGATGGACCCCGGTGAGCTGAATGCTTTCTGTTTTACTCCCTTAAATGGCTCTGAGTGCTATTGAAATGCTTGAGTACAGGAAACAGAATACTTACTCTAACCCACCCAAGCCAGAAATGTATTGGCTCATGTCGCAGATAATTACAAGGCAGCCGACTTCAGGCTTGGCTGGATCCAGGTTCTATAATTGTTCCACTGCTCCCCTATCCCTGCCCCTGTCTCTCTGTCTCTCTCTCCATCTTGCCTTCATTCTCAGGCAGGCTGTCCCTGCAATTACTTTCTACCAGCTTAGTGGACAGGGAGCACCTTTCTCTCTGTAACTACAACAAAAGGCCCCTAGGTTGAGTCTCCCTGGACTAGCTCAGGTCACATGCCCATCCCTAAACCAATCACTGTGACTCTGAGCACACAATATCCTGATTGGCCAGATATGGGTCACGTGACCACACAATGATCTGGACTTAGTGCAGTGTGGTATTTCAGGGTGCTATTAACAGAAGAAAGGAAAACAAACTCTGGGCAGGAAAAAGAATCCATAGATGTCTACTGCCATTTGCCATATATATATATATATATATAAAATTAACTGACAACTTTTACTCTCACCTGTTATTTGGAGTCACCAAATTCGTAGAAACACCAGAAACAGCCCCAGTCTAAAGGACAGGTCCTCATCTTGCACAGACTTAACAGCATCTAGATGGAACATTTAACAGCATTTTCTGCTTTTAATCTCTAAGTTTTTCTAGTCACCAAAAATACACACTAGTTATAAAAAGTTCCATCATGATAAAAATATGTAACAAACGACAGTGACACCTCCAGGGAAAACTTCTGTGAAAGCTGTTGGTGAACTTTTCCCCAGACTTTTTTCGGCATAGCTTTTGAGCACAGTCTAAAAGTAGCCTTCTGACTTTTTGCCCCTCAACAATGAAAGTCTCCCACTTTGTCCCTCTTTGCTTGTCCCAGGGAGTGGGGGGATGGTATTAGGGAGAACTTTGGCCAGAGAACCCAACTGTCTTCCCACCGAGCTGTTTTCTTTGGCCTCCCCCCATGTGCTGGCACCTCTGCTCAGCCTCCCTGCCTTCTGGAAGCTTTTATTTGGATGGTTGGAGGCCCAATAAGGTCATTCATGGGCTCATTCATGTATTTGACAAATGTGTATTCACCTAGGGCAGGGCCTGAGGCACTGTTCCCCTTTCTCCTGACTTCCCAGACACCTAGTACTTCTCCTTACCTCTCACCTCCTCCGTCACCCCATCTATCATGTGGGCATAATGATACCTTCCCTGTCTGAAGAAAGGAGCTGGGTCCTCAACTGCCCAGAGGCATCTTCGGTTTCAGATCTGTCATTTCTGAGTGTCTCCTCCCTGACAAGCAGCTCCCCTCCAATCCAGCCAACACCTTCCACCTGTCACTCTGTAGCAAAATGGTTAAGGGCATGGACCCTGGTTAGGAGCCACACCACCTGAGTTGAACACTTGGTAGGCTGACCAACTCTCCCAGTTTGCCCGGGGCTGAAAGTCCCACATTCTAGAAAAAAACTTCAATTCTAGATGAACCAGGACAGTTGTCACCTCTCAGTTCCATCTCTGAATGTGTGAGCTTGGGCAAGTTACGTGACCTCTCTGTGCTTTCTTCCTTATTTTAACTTTGGGGATAATAGCTATACCTTCCTCCCAAGGTAGTCATGAGATTAAATGAGATAATACATATTAAGTCCTGAAAACAGAGTTCACACTCGACAAGTATTGGCCATTTTTGTTATGATTCCCCTTTTCTGTCCAGCTGGGGGCTGGAAGGAGGGGGATCCCATGAGTAACACATGTTTGGGGCCCAGGAATGGGAGTCCTACAGCCTTGGGTTCTATTCCTGATACTGCCGCTCTCTGTGTGTGACTTTGAACAAATTGTGTAACTCTCTGAGACTTAGTGTTCCTCATCTGTCAAATGGGGTTGATAACAGATCCACTTCTCAAGATGGCCTGAGCCCAGTGCTTGGCCTGTAGTACATGCTAGATATGTGGTTGCTATGATTACTAGTCAGCAGTCTGGGTCCAGTGTGATTCAGAAATAGAACCACTGCTTGGATGGCCTAGCAGTCCCTGGGCATTGCTAAGCCTGGAGGCCTCAAGCAACTGGACTAGTTGGGCCTTGGTCTGCACCTGGGACCCAAACCCAGTGATGCTAAGAACTCTGGCCTCCTCTCCTCCAGCCTCAGCCACTTCCCGCTGGGCGGCTCCACCCTGGCTGTGCTCACTCAAAGACTAGGCCACATGACCCTTCTGCAGAGCCTCTGGTGAGTAATAGAGGGACCCCATGGGAATGATTGGGAGGACACGCTCCCCAGTTCTGTTAGGACAACTTGCCCAAGGAAGCACTGGGGGCACCTCCCTGAGGACCCTCCATGCTCACGTCCTCGGGACTTTCCTGTACCCTACCAGGCCAGCTCCACAGCTCTTGCATTTTAATGCCACCAGCTTCCCCCAGGCTAGGGACATGGAGAGTTGAGGACACATCCTAGAACAACCCTTAAAGTGCACAAATTCACCATGTTCTGGTTCACATTTCTGAGTCCACGGGTCTGGGTTGCCTAGGCTCTGCGTCTCTAACAAGCTCCCAGGCAGTCCCACTTCACTGTGGTCTAGACTCAGATCTGGTGACTTTGATAGTCTTCCTGGTGCCCCTGGACACTTTGATAAACAAACATCACATGCTATTTTCATGTGATTTTTCAAAATATAAAATATGGTAACTAAAAACAAACCCAAGCATAACACAAAGCATTGCTTTGTTTTTATCCAAGTCCACTCCCCCCACCCCCACCCCCAGCAGTGTAGAGTGCATAGGAAATTAGGTCAGAGAGTTCGGAGGAGCATATCATATGGGACCAGGTCACTTCACCAAAAATTAATTTACTGAAAGGCAGTTGGCTAAATTAAATTTGCAAAACAAGAGAAAACAAACAACCCTCGGACAAATATTTAATGTAGGGCTAAATTTGCATCAGCTGTTTCGTTTTATTTTTGACCGAGGCAGGCAAGGTCAAAGTGCAGAAAAGGCAATAGACTAGGCTTAAGGGAAAACCCACCATTTAGATTAGAACAAAATATGCCTGGAGAAATGATTTGCCTGAACTGTGAAATTGCCACTCAGCTGGGCTGGCCTGGAGATCCCTGACACAGGGGCTGAGGCAAAGCCTGGCCAAACCAGAACATGTAGCTACCTCTCCCAGGCTGGCAGCCCTGGGCTTGCCTTTCCCCCTTGCCTGTGGGTCATTGGGAGTCTTTGACCAGTCACGGATCCTCCCTGGGCCTCTGTCTTCTCACCTGGGCATTGGGTTCAGTCATGCCCACCTTGCCCGGCCTTCTTTCCCCTGAAGTTTTGTGACTGGCAGATGAGTTCTTGGAGGTGTAAATGCTTTGCAAACCGTAGAGTTCTTAGCACAGCACCTGCAAAAGCCTTTATCCCTGACTAAGGCCTCTTGACCTGTTCCTTGCTTCTCCAGTCTGAGCAGCAACGACATTGGTCACATCGGCTGCTACCACCTTTCCAAGGCTCTCAGAGCTGCCACCAGCTTGGAGGAGCTCGGATGAGTTACCTGTCCTTTCCCCAGGCCCAAGACAACTTTGGCAGGGAAGATGACAAAAGCAAGGGACTCCTTGGGGACATACCTTACTTAGCCTCATCACCTCCACCCACTTCTACACAACAGAACCCCAGACATAGAACCTTGGGAGACCCAAAGATAGGATGTGAGTATTGATTGCAGCAAGACAGATTTAGGGCAGACATCAGGGCAAACGTTGTAAACACAAGATAAGAGTTTGGAGTCCTCACTTAACATAGGATGACAGGACTTGATCAGTATGAGCTGAGCCCTTTCTCTAGATTTCAGCCTCCTCCTCTTCTGGGGTGGAGACGTGGACAAGATGAGATGGGTGGCAGACTGACGGTTACAGTTCTTCTGCTGTTCTCTCCCCAAGCTTGAGCTACAACCAGATTGGAGACACCGGTGCCCAGCACTTAGCTGCCATCCTGCCAGGGCTGCCTGAGCTCAGGAAGATAGAGTGAGTGCCAGCCCTACTGAGAGGGGCCCTCAGTGGCCACCCCATGGTCTGGGGGAGACACTGGCTTCGGGCTCAGTCTGATATTCCTCCCTCAACGTCAGTGTCCAGGCTACCTCCTGGCCCTGCTGACTTTGGGACCTTGAGCCAGCCCAGCCTCTGCCCCTCTCCGGGCCCTTCTGCCCCATCAGGCTGGAAGGGTGTGCGGCAGGAGTGCTGTCTCTAGGGCCCCAGCAGAGGGGGGTGGAGTGGGGGCGGTGGAGGGTCTGAGGGTCTGAGGTCTGCCTCGCCCTCAGCCTCTCAGCAAATGGCATCAGCCCAGCTGGAGGAGTGCGGTTGGCGGAGTCTCTCGCCGTCTGCAGGCACCTGGAGGAGCTGATGTGAGTGTGTGCCCAGGTGGGCTGCCCTCGGCCCTGTGTGTCCCCACAGTCCTCCTTCAGTGGACACAGGGCAGGGATCTGCACAGGCCAGCCCGGTGCTCAGGTTCATCCTTTCTCTTCTTCCAGGCTTGGCTGCAATGCCCTGGGGGATCCCACAGCCCTGGGGCTGGCGCAGGGGCTGCCCCAGCATCTCAGAGTCCTGCAGTAAGTGCCCCCCTGCCCGCGGTGTGTGCAGAGCTAGCGCGACAGGGTTCCTCTGGGAGTGTTTGGGGGTCAAGGTCCCCATCGGTTGAGCTGCCCTGCCTTAGGGCAAGCTGCAGCATGTACTGGGGCTAGCCGTTCCCTCTCCTCCTGGTCCTCACCTGCCTCTGGAGTCTGGGACAGGGACATCAGGAGCCGCAGCCTAGTCCTGGCTCTGCCACCAGCCCCCTGTGTACCTGTGGCCAAGCCCCTGCCCCTTCTGAGTTTCAGTTTCCTCATCTGTAAAAGAATTACAGCAATCCCAGCTCAGTGAGCCTCTGAGCCCATCTCTGAGGGTGAGCAAAGAAATGTTAGCAAAGTGCCAAGCAGCATGGCCCCAGCACTTTACAGTTTATATCCATGGTCTCATTTGAGCCTCACAGCAGCCCCGTAGGGCCTGGCTTTCTATTTGCACCATTTTCCAGGCAACGGAACTAAAGACAGGAGAAGTATGGAGAGTTCATCTTATTAATATATGAAGAAGCCAGGCCTTGAACTTGGACTCTCAAACCCCAAAGCCAGGGCCCTTGATACCCACCCAGGTCCTGTATGGGTAGAGAGGAGGCTTAGGATGGCAGTTACCCAGAGACTGTCTAAGGTCTGGTGGTACAGCCTGATACAAAGCTGAGGGGGGGGGGATCCAGCACCCCCCCATCCCCATGCCTGGTCCCCCAGGCTTCCCTCACCCTCTCCCCTTTCCCCAGCCTGCGGTCCAGCCGTCTGGGCCCAGAGGGGGCACTGAGCCTGGGCCAGGCCCTGGATGGATGCCCATACGTGGAAGAGATCAGGTGGGTAGGGGCCATGGAGCCTGGGCAGAGGGACAGGCCGGGGAGGGTCTAGGGGTTCCTCTTACAGGTATCTTTCTGCCCTGCAGCTTGGCAGAGAACAGCCTGGCTGGAGGGGTCCCACATTTCCGTCAGGGGCTCCCACTGCTCAGGCATATAGAGTAAGTGGCCTCCTCTGACTACCTGGGGAGCTGGGGTTGGGGTGGGGGGCCCTTCTCTGGCTGAGCCTTGACAGCTGGGAGGCCTTTGAAGTGACAGAGGCGTCAGGCACAGGGAGAGCCTGGGGCAAAAAGGGGCACTTTCCTAAAATCCCTACCCCGCCCCACACCCTGGCCACTCTGCTGCCTCCTACTCAGACTGCAATTTGGGGAGAGAGGGACTAGCTGGTGGTCCCCTTGACTGACACCTCCATCTTACCTCTTCTCCTTCCCCAGCCTGGTTTCGTGTGAGATTGACAACCAGACAGCCAAGCCCCTCACTGCCAGCTTCGTGCTTTGCCCAGCCCTGGAAGAAATCCTGTGAGTGCTGGGGAAAACCCTGCGCTGGGAAAAGTGGGTGTCTGGGGGCTTGGTCCCGGCTTGCTGCGTGGCCTAGAGTCAGCTTCTTCCTCCCAGGGGTCCTGCCACCTGTAAACGGGGAGGTCACTCCTGCTCAAACCTCCTCTTGAGGAAGTTGTAACATTTGAGCTGGGAGTGGTGTTGAGCCAGGCCATTCAGCTACTCCTGCCTGTTTCCCCACCTGTGAGTGGCAGGAGGCGAGGTGGACCAGACGGCTTCCCTAGGCTCCTCAACCCTCACCTTCCCTTTGCGAGGTGGCTGGATAGACCGGCCTGGTATATGGAGCCTTGGTTTATGAACCACCTGTTGGCAGTGAAGAGTGGCTGAAGCCAGTAGGCTCCCGACCCACCCACTGGCCAATGTCCACCTCGCCCTTGGCAATCAGAGGCGCTCAGACCTTGGAACCTTGCTGCGCTGTTTTTTTTTTTTTTTTTAGCTGAGCCATCCTGCTACCTGTTGGCAGCTCAGCGGCTGCTCAGCTCGGGCTGGACTCGAACCGCTGTTGCTCAGAGCTCAAACTCTTGAGCGAGCTCTTAACTTGCTGCGCTGGCTCAGGAGTGAACTAGAATGCCAGGACTAGCCTGGGACTCTGACCACAGCATGGAAGAAAATATTAGTTCCCAAAGTACAAAGCACAAGTGGTTATCAGATTTCAGGCTTGTATCCTAAAGAGCTTAATGTTTGTCGTTACTTTACACCAAAGAGAAAGTCTGAGTATTAGCTCGTCTTTAACACCTAACACGGGTGATTCTCCTTTTTTAGCCAGCAGGGGGCAGGCCACAGGCCCAGCATCTTAGGAAGGACATAGGTTCCAGCTAGAAGTTAATACTGTAGTTTGCACTGTATTTATCCTTGTAGCTCCCTTCTATTTAGGTTCCTAAACATAGGCTTTCTGCTGATAATAGTGATAAATGTTTCCTAAGATTAATTTCTTTTAAAACAAGTGGGAAGGGAGGACCAATTTAAAGAAAAATATGAAACAATAATATAGGAGGTGCATGGATGTGACAAAAGTCATGATGGAGGCACATGCATAGATCATGACATTGTTCCCTCAGACCATGTGTTCTGAACTCTCGGGACAGCCAGATCCTAACCTGTCTGGGTTCTTGAGGGGTGTCCAGCTTGGGAATGGGGTTGGTGGAGGAAGGAGCCACCTGTGCCCTCAAAAGTCTTCAGGGGAGGGCACACAAGCACCCCATCAGGTGCCTCTCCTGCACCTGCACACCACCACCACCACCCCGTTGGCCCCAGCCCTCCCCACCTGCCACCTCTCAACCTCACTGCTTCCCCGCCGCTGACCTTGGTCGCCCTACCCTGCAGGCTGTCCTGGAATCTGCTCGGCGATGAGGCAGCTGCTGAGCTGGCCGGCATCCTGCCACGGATGGGCCGGCTGAAGAGAGTGGAGTATGAGGGGCACATCCTGGGAAGCCAGGGGGCAGGGAGGGCCAGAGGGGACCTGCATCTTGGGAAAAGCCACGAGGCCACTCGGTCAGGACCTCGCCTCCCAGGAAGCCCTCCTTGACTTACACACTCCAGTCTGCTCCAAGCTGCCACCGAGCTTAGCTCTCCCTGGGACCCAGACTTTGGCCTTCCTGCTGCACTGTTGTCTATTGGGTTCTCTAAGCAGCGAGCCCATGTCCCCCCACCTTGGCCCCAGGGAACAGACATAGGAAAGCCCCTCCCTCATCTCATGCCAGTCTCTCTCTTTCCCCTTCCTCTGCTGTCCATTGGAAAGCCTGGAGAAGAATCGGATCACAGCTTATGGAGCCTGGCTCCTAGCACAAGGGCTGGCGCAGGGGTCTGGCATCCAAGTCATCCGGTAACAAGGGCTTGCAGGGGCAGGATGGTGGGTGGGAGGCCACGCCAATCCCTACAATGTCAGGGTACTCCCTGTAGGAGGAAGCAGGACGTGGGTTGGGGATTATCAAGGAGACTTGGACCACTCTACCAAGAATTTGGCAGCAACCAGACCCGGGTCAAATCCTGGCTCTACCATCTACCGATTGTGTAACTGCATCAGTAACTCAACCTCTCTGAACCTCAACATCCTCATCTATAAAATGGGGATAATGATAGTATTTACCTTAGAGAGTTGCTATGAGGATTAAATGATAGTATATAGCACTGAGCACAATTCCTGGCACATAATAAGCACTTAATATTGTAGCTATAATTAGAGCCACCACATACGTGTACAGTTGTACAGGTTGTGCACTGCACAAAGGCATTGCATCTAAGGGACACATTCGCATAGTACACATGTTAGATTTCTAGTAGATGGTAGTGAAGTGTCTTGTTCTATAGTAAACATATTATGACAATTTCAGACAATGGAAGTAAAGTGTCTTATTTGCAATGTGTCATATGAACAGGGATCTGGCTGGGATCACTAACTCCCAGGGAAGAAGACTGAGTAGAAGAAGTCAGGGGGTGGGTGTGAGGGACATTGTCTCCCTAGTGTAGCCATGCTGGCCCAATACCTGCCTCGGCCAGGTAACTCTGGGCACAGCTCTTTCCCTTGGGCCTCAGTATCCCCAGCAGTAGCTAAGACAGAAGGCAGAGACAAGAGGATATGTGCTGACTGTCTATCTCTGTGTCCCGCAGCCTCTGGAATAACCCCATTTCCCCCAACATGGCCCACCATCTGCAGAGCCAGGAGCCCAGGCTGGACTTTGCTTTCTTCCACGACCAGCCACAGGCCCCTCGGGGTACTTGATGGCCCCCTCAAGACCCTTCGAATCCAGCTAACTTCCAGCCACCAGGATAGAAGGCTCAGGAAGAGCCTCAGCTGGGTGTCCCCGTATCTTGCCTCAGGAGGGAGGGACACCGTTGATCTGTTATAGCCTTCAAGGAAGATTTTTTTGGAGCCAGAAGCCTAGTAAGGTCAATAGACTACCCTGCATCTCACGTGTCATGCATGACCAGTTAGGGACATGTGGCACAATAAGGGTGTCATGATGTGACGCATGACACAGAAGGTCACACATGGCAGAGTTCCAGGCGGTATTATGTGGAACTTGCAGTGTGGCCTGTGGGTCAGTGTCATGGGTCCTAGCACCACACATGGCAGGACACATGATTGGTGGTCCATATATGACAAATGACAAATGTCCATGTCATATGACATTTGGCTAGCCAGATGCCTCAAGCTGGTCCAAGATCTAATTTATTACTTTTTTTAAACCAAGTATGTATTTATAAATTGTATTTCCAGGGCAGCTAAGCTGGGGAATGTCTTCCGCCCAGAATTGGGATAGGGATAGGGAGAGTGTCTAAGCACTGAGCAGCCCAGTGGCCCGAGGGCCAGGGCTCTGGTGGGGACTCAACCATGAGGGTTCTGGATGAGTCCTCTCCTGCTTCAAGCCTCGGTTTTCCCATCTGTAAATGGGATGACCCCCTCCCTTTAAATGCTGACTTCCAAGGACTTTAGGCCCAGGTCCAGGGAGAGCCAGCCTGACCTGGGGAGTAGATGGGTAGGATGAAGCAGGTCTAAGGATCCAAGGGGTGGGCACTGCCAAGATAATCAGGCAAGGCCATGGGGTCCAGCTACTACCTTAGTGGGATCTGGGTGAGCTCCCAGGAGCTGCATATGTCACCCAGTGTTCTTGTTACTCCTCAGAGGGCACATGGGTAGCACTGCTACACTCTAAGCCAAGTGTGACCAATAAATGTGGATGGTCTCCTAGCCTCTAGCCTGAGTCTGATGTGTCCTACCACCTTGCCAAAGTCAGAAGTGGTTTACCCCCTGCCTCGGGGCCTGGAGAACAGAGCAGACCACAGAGATGTGTGCTGACAGGAGACAGGAGCACTGGCCTGGGAGTCAGGAGACATGGGATCAAGTCCATGCTCTGCCTCTACGTGGTCATGTGATCACAGGCAAGTCACCTCCTCTTTCCGGAACTCACCTGCACCCTGAGGGTGTTACTGAGGGGCTCGACGTGTTAGAAATCGTCTTTGTTGGACTTGTATTATATTTAAATCCTTTTCCGAGTTAATTGTCAGTATTTAAAATTGGGAACTTTTACATAAAAATCCAGATTTTCAGCTTCTCTTAGGTGCTGGTCTAATACTCCCACTCAAGAGTAATCTGGGGGATTCATATGACCGTGCCCTTTAAATGTGGCACATGTCCCTCCGTTTGCCACAGTCCCCACCACTCCCCAATACTTCCCTCTCCCATTTGCTGCTTGCCTGGTCCTTGTGAGAGCCTGGAAACTTCTGGCATAGACGGTTTCCACAGGTGGGTGGTACCTTAGGAACATGGCTGTAGAAGTCAGAGGGGCATGGAACGGACTGTGACCCCGTGCTGCATGGCCTTGAGGCCAGGAGCTGTTTCTGCACATGAGTTAGTAATAGCTCCCAGCCCCCAGGACTTTCGGAGGGGTCAGGGAAGCAAGGTATGTAAGAGATAAGTACTGGTTACATACATGGTAGTTCCCTTCCTCTTTCAGGTTTCAATATCATATGAGATGGAGAGATGTTTGAAATGACAGGAGAACAGCACCCCCTCCCAGTCACTTACCAATGAGCTGAACAAGTTGATCTCAGGGGAGCCTTGCTCCAAAAGTGCAACCCATTGTGAAAAGCGGGCAGGGAAAGTGCAGTTACTGCCAAGTACCACTGGAGGGCAGGCTGGCCCACTGGTGATTCCTGAGATCATTTGCTTTGCCATTGGCCCCAGAATGAAGTTAGGTAATGCTAGGTGCTGTTCCCACCTGGCCTAGAGCCTGGGATGGCCCAGCCTGTCAGTAGCACACCTGGATGGCTCAGCCCTGACTTTTCCCACCGTCCACGTTGTCCCTGGTTCCCTGCCAAGCATGAGAAAAAAGTTCTCTGGCCAAATGCCAAACACCCACACCCTATGCAGGGACACCTTTATGGGGTCAGGGTCACAGCACACTTGCCACCGAGTAGGCCCATCAGCCAGCCTGGTCATGGGGAAGGGGATAGGCAGGTAGAAGACCCAAAAAGTTCACCCAGAAAACTTAAGCCCCAAAATTCTGTCTCTCCTTCCCGGGAAATGACGCCAAGGTGACCTTGGGTCCTCAGTTGAACTTCCTCTGCCCCTTATCCAAGACTGGAGTATGAGGCCCTCCAAGCCTGCAGATACCTTGAGTGGGGAGGTGATGACTGGGGAAGGCAGTGCACCAACCAGACGCTGCAGGCCAGGCGAAATGCACAGCTGGCAGCACCCAGAGCGTAGAGACGTTCTTTATATTTGCTGCTTATTCGTTTTACTCTTCCCTTCTCCTTTCCCCATCAGCTCTGCCCAAGTTCTAAGTTTCAAGAAACTGTCAGCAGCTGCCCTGAAAAGTCCACAGTATTGTCAGCACTGCAGAGCTGGCTGGGCCCGTGTCAGGTTGGGGTGGTCACCTCGTTTATTTTAAAAACCTTCCTCTTCTACCGCCTGCCTGCTTGGAGGCCTGGACTATTTTTCTAGCCAACAATGATGGGGTCCAGACTCCCTGCCCCCTCCCTCCCCAAAGTAAGCTCTGTTTAAATATCTTCATGAAAAATAGATAAAATTCAAAGAGAAGTAAAGCTATGGGCTAGTAAGCAGTGTAATCAAAATGGTGCTCCCGGCTCGGCACATGGGTCTTCTCATTAAGAATGTGATCAAGCTAGTAAGTAGCCATGTCTATCTGGGAGGCTGGGATAAGCTCATTTTGCTACTTTGTCACTTGACCTCCATCCTATGGTTTCACAGATCGAATATCCACCTTTCTGATGGGAGTCACAAAAATCTCCCTTCCCATCTCCACAGGCCTCAGATCCTCCTGAATTGCCTCCTCTGCCTTTCCCAAAAAACACACGTCTAAAATCCACCATCCAGGCTGGTCCTTCTCAAATTATCAAATTGAACTTACAGAAACTACAATGTGCATTGAATCATCTGGGGGTCTTCTTAAGGTGCGGATTCTGGTTCCGCAGGTCTGGTGAAAGGCCTGGGATTCTGCATTTCTGAGAAGCCCCTGAGTGATGTCTAGGCTGCTGGACCACACTTAGCGAGACTGTAGACTGGTGAGTGGATCTCAGCCCTGACTGCCCATTAGAATCACCCAGGAGCTTTTTAATGTACCTGTTTAAAAATATTTAGAAAGCTCCCCAGGCAAAACAAATGTGCAGCCAGGGTTGGAGACCCACAGCCTCCAGGGAGTGAGTGTGTAACCTCTCAGGGAGGCTAGGCAAACATTTACACCACACACACTCCTCATTTTGTCCTGAGGTTCCTGGTGACCCTTCCTTCTCAGGTGAGGACACTGAAACCCAGAGATTGTTCCCAACTTGCCCAAAGGCACCAGGAATCAAACCTGGATCTTTGTGACTTTTTTCCCCACTTTTTTGCAGCTTTACTGACATAGAATTGATATACAGCAAGCACTGTATAAATTTAAGGTGTACGGCATACTGATTTGACTTACATAGACTGTGAAATGATTACCACAATAAGTTTAGCCAACATCCATCATCTCATAAAGATACCAAAAAAGTGTGTGTGGCGGGGGAGGGGGGGAATGTTTTTTTCCTTGAGATGAGAAGTCTTAGGACCTACTCTCTTATCCACTTTCACATTTTGGGATTCATAATCCTCCAGGTGTAGCCCCAGTTTCCTCATCTGGACAGTGAGGGGATGAGCAAAGTGAGACAAGGCACGAGGACCTACTTTCCCCAGCTGCAGAGATGACCTTATGGTTAATGTCTGTCTCCCCTCCGGGAGGGTTCTGAATCCACTGTCGCCTACCTTGCATGATTATAGTTCTGGAGCTCCACCATCGTGACCTCCTCTGGACCCGTAGCCACAATCCCAGCAACAATTGTCCCCCCCCCCCCATTCACAAATGAGAAAACAGAAGCCCAGTGAGGAACAAGACTTGCCAAAACACACGGTGAATATTTAGTGGAGCTCAGATTCCAGTCGTGGAGCAAGAAGGAAAGGAGGATGTTGGGGTGGTCCCAGCTGGGGATTTAACTGATCTGTGGGTCTATGCGTTCCTCAGGCAGCAGGGCCCTGGGAAAGGTGAAAGGCTGTGAGCCCTCCCTGGCCCTACTTCTGCCCCAGCCCCAGCCCTGCATGGCCACAACCAGGTCTGAGGGTGGTGGCCTTAGCTAGAGCTGGACACGCCCTCGGGGCACAACCAGAGCTTCCTGGAAAACACCTTGCAACAGCTGGTTTGGGTTGGGCTGTTTATGCTCCAGGGACAGCTGGTCTTCCTCCCACGTGGCCAGACACCTCATGAAGCACCCCATGTGTCTCTCAGCCCCCAGAGCGGCTGTCCTCCTTACCCTCGGCCCTTGGAAGCCATACTTTTTTGTTTATCCCACACAAGCCCCCACTCTGCCTGGCTGCCCAGAAATCAGCCTTTGCCCCGAGGAGGAGGCCACAAAAGAGGAACCTTCACCAGAGAACAAATGCTAACTGGGGTCCCCGGTTGAGTCACCTAGGCTAGAAGCATCGGTCTCCTGGACTGGGACCTTCGTCCTCACCCTCACACACGAATCTCCAGTACGAGGTTGGGGCTGACTGGAGGGGCTGAGGGTGGGGGCCTGGGCATCCTGGCCCTGGAAGGAAGCATCCTTGTGTTGGAGTGACTGAACCCCTAGAACTTAAAACCAGCAATAACAACACACTAGCCCTGGTGTCTAGCCATGCCTGGTGCCATGCTAGCCACATTAGGGTCTCATTGAATTCCCACAATCATCCGTGAAGCCGGTACGAAATCTATCCTTCCATCTTACAAAGGAGGAAACTGAGGCCCAGAGGAATAGTGATCTCACTCCAGCAGTAATTGGAGTGGCTGGGATTCAAACCGAGGGCCATGACTCTATGTCTGAGGTTTGGCGCTGGAGTCAGCCATGCCCGCCTCCAACAGTGAAGTCCTTAAGTGGATGTCTCCACATCAACCCCCCTGGCAGGTGGTGTTTTCCAAAATGGCCACCACAGTATCTCCTATCCCACATGCTCTTTCTACAATGTGACAGTGACACGCTTCTCACTGAGGGGTCTCAGCAGAAGTGATATTATGTGACTTGCAAGGCTAGGTCCTTTAAAATATACAATAATAAGGCTTCCACCTCATCCTCTTGGGATGCTCACTCTGGGAACCCAGCTGCCATGCTACATGGATGCCCAGGCCACATGGAACAGTCATGGGTAGGTGTTCAAGCTGAGGTCCTAGCTGACGACCAGCACCAATTGCCAGACATGTGTGAGAAAGCCTTCTAGATAACTCCAGCCTCTGCCGTGGTCTGATGCCACTGTTTGAGAAATCCTGAGCAAGAACTGCCCTAGCTGAGCCCAGCTAGCCCCCAGAACTATGAGAAATAACAGGTTTGGGGTGATGTGTGTTCTAGAAATGGATCACCCTCTATCCTCTTCTCTTTTACACAACCCTGAGGCCAGTCAGGGCCTGGTACCCAGGCGGTGCTCCTTCAAGTGTCTTTAATTTACAAGCACACTGAAGTGTACAGGCAGCCGTGGTTATTTTGATCTATTTGTCCAGACAGCCTGGACTGTGCAAATAAATACCCAGATGGCAGGCTCTTCTCACTCTCTCTCTCTCTCTCTCTCTCTCTCTCTCTCTCTCTCTCTCTCTCTCTCCTCTCTCTCTTTCTCTCTCTCTTTCTCTGTCATATAGGCCCATTTAGGAAAATTCAGTCCTCCCGCTTGTGAGAGAGGTCCTTCTCCCAGGGTGAGGAAAGACATTTTGCAGTAGCAGCCTTGTGTCATGTGTGGATTGAGGATAGAGTGTAGAATCAATGGGTAGAACACTTGACCTTCATCACCTGACCTCTGGGCTCTCCTTATCCCTGACTTTTTACAGCACAGCTTTATTGAGGTGTAATTCACATACTATAACATTCACCCCTTTAAAGTATAACAAGTCCATGGTTTTGAGAATATCTACAGTTTTGTACAACCATCACTATAACAATTATAGAATAT